TTATGCAAAATCAAGGCCTAAAAGCATGTGAATTACATAAAAGCAAAACTTGAAACTTTAAGAACACAATATGAACATAACATGCATGCCATTTCTTGAGTTTGACTCTTCCATATCATGATCAAATGAGCTAAATCGATGTAGAATGTGATGAATTCTCATAGCCAAGCTAAAATAACCACATGCATGCAAGAATCTTTTGATAATTTGCTTCAAACATGATGAAATATGCATACATGCATGATCACTCTTAAATTCTTTCAATTCTAACTTAATTCAAGTGCTACCACACCTTAAATTCCTTTTGCATTTACATGAAATTAAGCCTAATGGCATAAAATAAGTGTTGAATCCTTACCTCAACTTCTCACTTAAGCTCTAGGTGATGCATTCACTAAGATTCCAAGCTAATTCCTTCCAAATTCTACCAATTCCCTTGTTGTTTCTCAATTTCTTCTTCCATCTTCTCTCTCTCTATCTCTCTCACGTTGGTCTCCAAGGATGAAGAAAATGAGAGTGTAGAGTGTATATAGAAGCCTTATATAGGCTTGATTAGGCCACTTAATTACTCTTAGCTAAAGTTTAAGTAAATTTATTTTAATTATTTGGTTTTAAATCAAATTTCAATTGAACCTACCATAAGGCTCTAAAAATCCCAAATAACACAAACTTAAACAATTTTGAAATCGGATGCCGATAAGGCCTTCAAATCGCAAATCGAAACAGAAATACCGACAGATATTTCTACGACAGACAGATATAAATCCAAATTAACACAATGCACATGCAATTACTCAAAATTTAGTCTTAATTACGGATTAGGCATCCTTAATCATACTTTAGTCATTAACTACGGGGTCAGGTTGTTACAATTTTTTTCAAAAATTCTTGTGGGAAATTATTTTTTCTAAACGAAATTAATTCAAATTTTGTGTCAAATTTGAATTCAAATTTTCTGTTCAAACAGTGTCTCCTCCAATTCAATCTCCAGCAGGTTCAAACAATTTAAACAGTTTGCACCGAACAGGTTCCATTTTCTAGCAGATCTATTCAGTTTGAATTTTGTATCTGTTCAAGTTCAATTACACTTGTTCAATTCAAAATCATACCTGTTCGGATCTGCCAAACAGTCACCAACTTTCCTATAAATAGGAGACCTTTATAGCAGATTTTCACATCTAGAAAATTAATTATCTTCCCGTTTTTGCTCTCTGTTTGCATTGTTCTTCATACTAGTTTTTAGAGAAATTTTTGAGAGTATAAAACACATGTTCTAGTTCACCGTGCAGATTGTTTGGAGTGCTATTACAATCTGTCTAAGATCATTGTATCCTGAAAGATAGACGTCATTTATCCGTAAGCACCGGAGCGGGACAAATCTATTTTAAGGACAAAGTGTCACATACTCGATTTGATCTTTTTTGTACCTATTCGTTTTGAAAAATAAATTTTGTAAATAATTTATTTTTATTTATTTGATTTGGTTTCAAGTTATTTATTTTACACAAAAAATTGTTCCAACATAAGCTCCTGACAAAAAAATAAAAATAAAAATCTAATGGGAAGAAGAAAATAAAAAAAGTTTCTTTGCAACATGAGAAAATGTTATATAAGATTAAAAGTGTATAAAAAGTTTCAACTCATATAGTTAGCAGCTCTTTTATGTATCATGAAAATTGTCATCAAAATACAAGTTAAGTGGGAAAATGTTGGCAATTTTCAAGGCGATATTTTCGTCGTGTCTAGCTTTTCTGTATAATTACACAATCAAAATGTTGATTCCATTGATAATATGTGGGTGTTTGGGAAGTTATTTTAGTAGGTCAAAATTTTTATGTTTAGAAAGATAGTTGGACTTTTTTGTAGTTGGATGTGATGTTTGTGAGAGAAAAAGTGAAATGATTATGAATTTGATATAACATTTTGTCTTATTGACTATGTTAGCCTATTTTGTCTTTTCATAAATTTTAACCCAAAAAAGTTCAAAAATAGCCTTTGCCAAACACCCCTATAATGACCAAATTAAAATTTCATTAAAGATGGACACAGAGAGAAAAAGGCACCACAGGAGAGATGTAAAATAAATTATATATAATAGAAAATCCCATATGGAAATCAATACATGGCCAATGTATGGCTATGCTGTTGTTTCTAGTAGAGTTTTCCAAATCCTCTATGGCCTTTGAACTTCAATCCATGCCTATGAAACAGCTGCATAGGAAGCCAAAGAAGATTTACACTCACTTCCCATTCATACAAAAATGATATATATATATATATATATATGTCTCATAACAATAAAGATAAAATTTAAGTGCAAAAATAGATCTATGTTAAAAATGATTCAATTAGAATTACTACAATGATCAAATTAATAATAGAGACAGACATAGACATAAAACTGATTTGTGTATACATCTCAGGAAATACAATAAAATTGTAGTATTAGCAGGACATGAAACCTTTTTCCAAATCTCCTATAAATCCTATATATCATATGAAATAAATGAAACAACACATATACATCGTACAGATGTTTTTAAAATGAGTCAAAGTAAATACAGAATAAACACACAGAAAAAATATGAAAACAATACTAAAGGCGAGAGAGAGGGAAGCCAAGGCCATGCCGGTTGGTAGGGAATGCGACGAACAACAGGCTGCAGATCACACCAACCCCAATTGGCAATGTTTCAAGCAGCTCCTTGGCTTCATCAGATGGGTTCGAATATAAACATTTGACAACATTCTGATCAAACAGTGCAACCGCAGAAAAAACAACTATGGATATGAAAGCAAAAAAAAATCAACCATTTTGAGACTGTACTTGGCTGCTTCCTCAGCTGGAATGGTGACAGACCCATCAATAACCCATAAGCCCCGCCGCGTGGCAAGAAGTCCATACCGGACTTTCCCTCTTTCATCCTTGAAACTGTCAGTGAAACTCACGAGGAAGCAAGACAAGCCACAGATCCCCAAGAGGCATAATGTCATGGACTGGCTTATAAAAGAGCGACATTTGCCTTCGTGTGTGAAAACCGGGGATAGAATTTGGAACGTGAGGACTGAACCAGTTGGGAGGAGATTTGCTAAATGAGCTGATATCTTGAAAGTCTTTCAAACCGCCTTTTGTCTACGGGTTTTCTTTGGTTTTCCTGGTGTTAATGGCTGATCTTCCAATAGGGGTTGGCTTAATTGTTCTTCAACCGCTGCCTCGAGAGGTGCTGCAATTTCTTGCTTGATGTTGTCCATGGCTCAATTCCTTTAGTTTCAATCTCTTGAAAGCTTGATTGTTTTCTATGAAATAACAAAATGGCTATATATGTATATGTATTGGGTTTATTTTGTTTTAGGTATTTGGGAGAAGACAGTGGGAGAGAGGAGATAGATAGGCTTGCAAGAATCACCAATGAGGGACTCAAAATTAAGGTGGGAAGGTCAACATGACAGGCTTTCATGCAAAGAAGTTATTTTGAATGGTATTAAAGGGTTTTTGTAACTGTAATGAAATAGGTTTTAAATTAGGGATTGTTTTAGTTGATTTACTGTAAATAAGGAGTTTCATTTGGTGGGATTGCCTGTTAAGGTGTTTTCTGGGTTTGCGGACAGTCCATTGATGTGAACAATGAGAGAAAAATTCTGGCCTTGCTCAACTTTTAGTTGGATTCATTAGTGGCTTATTTATGTGATAATTTAAAAAAGCCTAAGACTTTGTTAGGATCATGAATTTGAGTAGTAATTTGAAACAGAAAAATATGTGTGAAATGTGATTCACGAATCAAACATAGGGGGTGTTTGGAAACTTGGTTTTTGGGTTTTTATTTTTTATTTTTTTTCACTACAAGACAAATATTTTACAAAACCAAATCATATCAAACCCCATAATCATTTTACTTTTTTCTCACAAACATCACAGTCAACCACAAAAAAACCCAACTATCTTTCCAAACATAAAAAAAAAAAATTCTCCAATGATATTCTATAACTAAAAAAACCCACTTTCCAAACACCCACATAATCTATTTTTTGTTTTTTGTTTTTTTTGTTCTTAAAACATATCATAGTAGACATACTAGTACAGACACAAAAAAAGAAAAATTCTCCAGTTATGCAACCCAACCTGCTTAATAGTTTCTCCGGTAATTAGAAATTTATGCTCAATACCAGAGGATTATGGCCTGAAGTTGTGCGATATGAACACCAAATTACATGGTTTGTAACTTTGCAGCTAGGTCTAAATATATATATATATATATATATTTTGTTGATAACTCGGTATTTATCCCAATAGACCAACTAATTCTGAGACCAAACCGCCTAAATATCCAAACCTAATTGAATGCATTTGTCTGTTCCGTCTCCTTCCAATGTTCTCCTTCCTGTCATCTTCTCTCTCTTCATCCTTCTTGAGCTTTATATATATGGTAGAGATACAGAAATATACAAAAACTATATATATTGCAAGAATTTCATAATCAAAGACACCTCAATTCACAAACAAACACCACAAAGCTTCATAATAAAATCAATTTAATTCAGAATCAAAACACTACAAAATGTTGTAATCAACCACCACAAACTTCATAATCAATCGCCACAAATTTAATAACTATAAAATCTTATAATTAAGTACGAAATGATTTATAACTAATGCTCCGTTTGGATCAAGAAGTGAGAAAAGAAGAAAAAATCAATCATACTTGGATGATTACAAAAGCAAAATAGGAAATATAAGAATACGGGTAAAATTTATTTTCCTTTCCATGTATTTTAATGAGCAATCTCAACATAATAAAAAATGTACAACCAATGGTCTTGTTTTTCTCCAGAATCACTACTATTGGTAAGAAATGAAACCTATGAAATAGGGGACTTCTCCTTCTCATCATTTCTCAACTAACTTGTAAATCAAACATGAGAACCAGTTCTCACTTCATTTCTTATCAGGTCACACCAAATCACTAGATCAATAAAAAAATCACAACACAATTCTAAGATAGTGGGCAATAATACAATGGCAGTTTCTAAGAAACATTCGAAATCCTCGAATAAATCAAGACAACATTACAAGAAGTTTTGCAGAACAGAACAAAACTAACACTGAGAAATATACAAAACAAAAATTGTTAAACTCACATTTGTGCTACATTATCAACTACTATCAAATCATCTCCTAACTTGGCTACATCTCTGCCCCAGAAATGGAAGACTACAAACTTCAATCCAAGTTTCATTGCACCAAGAAGAATATGCATATAACATCTATACACACAACTGCTCCATAATTACATGCGAGCGTCAAACCTCTTCATTTACAAGATTTGCATCCCATGACACGATTACAAATTGCACCGTGTCCTCCAGCTGTGTCCTTAAAGACGTTCAATCGACCCACTTTTAAGTCTCTGCATCCGGGCTTGTAGCCCAGACAATGCCTTCTCATCCATAGGAAGAACCCCGCTTTGTATAGGATTTTCGGCATTATCACAGTCCAAAGCATGAGAATTAGAGAGGCTGTGGGCTAAATTTCCGTTCATGTGCGTTAATGGTCTGTTCCCGGAATCCTGGTTCCCAGAAGCTGCTGCTAACTGGATGCTCTTCATTCTCTCTCTTATTGCATCTAACGTCCCACTAGTAACTGCTGTCACTACATCAATTTTTTGAAGTCATTCCATCAGAAATATAGAAACGATGGTTTATTTTTTGAACACTATTTGGGTTTTTATACTTTTCGTGTTTTTTTGTCTTTAGATTGTGTTCCTATTATGGATTTGGGTAGGGTTCATTCACATTTCACCCATAGTTTCCCTTTTCCCTTCCAAATCTCTACCTAAATTTATAATCCAAACATAAACTCAGTGAACTCTTTCCAAATCTCTACCTAAATCTATAATCCAAACACAAATCTCTACCTAAATCTACCTAAAATATTTGTGACAAAATCTGGGGAAAAATAATTAAATAAATAAACACATAAATGTGTTTAAAAAAAAGGACCAAAATATGAAAAAAGTTTACTAAAGGAAAAAAAAATACAAAAACATTTTTTGAGTTTGAAAACCAAACAAGATCTGACAATGGAAGTTACCTCCTGGTGGAAATCTATCATTCCTTTGGTCACCCAAATACTTCAGTAGATCCGAGTTATCAGAAGTGGGTCCTCTTGAATTGACGGCATTAACAACCCTCTCATCTTCAACATACGATGAAGGTAAACTAACATTTGTGGGTTCAACTTTAGTGTTTAGAGATTTTGCATTGAGTGGATCTGTATGTAGAGGTGATAAGGGAGCACACTTCGGGGAAAGGTTTATGGAAACCGGGGGAGGAGCTGACAACGGTAAACTTGAAGGTGTCCTTCCCGCTGCTGCATTCTTCTCCATCTGCAATAAAAGTAAAAAAAATCTAATTTAAGTGTTGCCGCATCATAATAGGAACATTTTTGTGTAAAGTTGTTGACTTAAACCTGGGCTAAACCATCTCTAATGTACGTTTGGAATGCCTCACTAGCATTTTGAAGTTGAGAAAATATATCAACCTATAAACAAAGAAATAGATTTAGACAAAGTATATAGGTGTGCCAATTTGAGGAAGCTCACACTGCAGACAAAAACTCTAAGGGCCTGTATGGTGCAGCTTCTTACAAGTTGAAAACTGATAATCATAAAGCTGAAGCTAAAAGCATCCGGTCGCCTACTTTACAATAATCAACTTTTTTTAAACTTATTTAAGCTACTTTTACATTATAAGTTGCAAATCGAAGATGCACCAAACACTCCAAACACATTAAAAATTTTAAAAGAAAAATGCTACAACCAATCTCAGAAGCTACACCAAACTGCACCTAACAACACAACCGGAAGTCATTACCTTGGGATATAATTGAGTGATACGGTGTAATTCATATAAACCAATGGTGCAAGTTTGCTTGTCACCAATTTTCTTGAAAATTGCAGCGAGTTCTTTCTGTAAGATGCACAAAATACCAGGAGACTGTATTAGGCATACAAAACTACAATCAAGATGGACCAGCTGGAAAAAAGCATTTCAAGACCTTCAATTGTGCATTGGCAGAGTGAGTGGCAGGTGACGGGTTGTGGGCTACTGAATCACCCCAATGAATTTGGCCAACAGGAACGGATGGAGTCAACATTCTTGCAGCAGCCAGAGTCTGGTAGATTACCAGAAAAGAAAAGAGAAAAGAAAAAAAAAGACGCAATAAGAACGAAAGAAACAAAAGTTTAAACCATACAAGCAGAGTTTTAAATATGGGCTGTTACTTATTGTATCACTTGTTACGTATCGGGATTTAGGAGATCCGATACTGTCATTCATCAAAAAATATAGACTGTTACTTATTGCATGACTTGTTACATATTGGGATTTAGGATATCCGATACTGTCATTCAAAAAAATATCGACTAATATTGTCTGATATTGATCGATATATATGTATTGATGATACTGATACATATCCCGATACCATTATTGAAAACCTTGCAAACAAGAGATTTAAGTATACGCTAACAGCCATGGTACCTGAAGATTAAGATCAACGTAGGCAAGAATAATAGGCTGAGGTTCCATGTCTATAGGAACCATGGAAAGATGGCCTTTTATTGCAGTGCCACGAAGCTTAACAAGCTCGTGTAGAACAGTTTTCACCATACGCAATGGTTTGTCATCAGCTCCAGCTCTTTCAGAAATTCATGATATAAAGGGCAGCCACAAGGGAAGAAAATCCAATCAGTTCATATCATGGATCCTCTGTGAAGAAATCATGACATTATATTTTGATGATAATATCTACGTAAATAGGTTTATTCTATACCTTCTCCTGATTTCTTCCATTCCCAATTCTTGCAAGTACACGTGGATACTTTGAAGGATAAGATCAAGGTCGACATCATATATAGTACTTGGAAGAACCTGCACCATAGGGAAGCAAATATGACATAAGTTAAACTGTGCCAAGAAATATAAAACAAATATCAATGGCAGAAATATTCGCAGACAAGAAAATTGAAAAAAACATACATATAAATTTAAGTTCTTTCTTAATGAAAGAATACATCCATGAAACTTAACTGAACTATGTCATTTCTGTAAGTCACTCATGTGAAATGTCTTCAAGTTATGGATGCTAGAAGGTTGTATATTTTTTTCTCTTTTTTAATTGGTTGCTGGCCAATTAAGATGGGGCTTTATAGTTCATTTTATACGATAGATGGAAACTTAAGAAGGAAAAGAAAAGAATGATTGAAATGGATGACGTAGTAAAAAGAAATTTTCTTCCCACCTATCAATATGGGGAAGCATGACTGACGGGTGGTACTGTAAAGGTACTGCTAGACATTGCATACAGACACATTGTTTAAAGGGAAGATATGCAAAAGAAAAGCTCCACCCCTGTGCATTTTTGTCCATGTGCTGAGCATGGACGCAAACATCTCCACTACTCCTTTCCTATCCCTTCCTTACAAATAAATAAATAAATAAGAAAAAAGAAAAGAAAATAAGCAAATAAACTCGCTACCATTCCCTCCCCTTCTCTTTCCAACCATTCTTTCCTCAAACTCTTTAAGCATAAATAACAAGAGGACCATTACACTTCATGTAGACAGTATAGAAAACACAAACAGAACAGTTTATCCGGTTGCAAGAGCCAAATGATGCAAACTGAGGTTTTCCACTTGAGAATATCATACAATTTCGTGAAAATGTATTGAGTAAGATACTTACTTTTGTGAGCTTGATCAGACATTTGACAACCAAATCAGAGAACTTCTGATTTCTAACGGCAAAAGACTCATTTGAGGTTGGTAATGGCCACCTTGAGGGGTCCAATGGACGTAAGAGATTAATCAGTACAACAAATGATGATGTACGTTCAGCATTATCCTGCATTGGAAACATGTACTCGGTAAAAAGATCCAACACACTCCCATCAGAATAATACCAAATTGTTGCTTTATGAAATAAACTCAACCAGGATTTTTAGCATCAAGACATTCAACGCTTTCAGGAGTTGGCTTCCATCATCCATCTGGGGAACCCTTTCATCCAAAAGCCAAAGCAGAAGCTCAGTGATGAGACTATCAAGTGTACTCTCCTTGACAGCATGTGCAATTCGTTTATTTTGGAATATCTGCAACAAATAAGTAAAAATTATATTTGAAAACTAAGATCATTCTTTGATGCACAATATAGTTCTCATGAATAAAGACAAAATACAACCACCACCCACATATAAGATATATCTTCAACTACTTAATTGCTGTATGGTCCCAACTTCCTTTGTTTTTTTTCCGTCTTATTGGCAATCAAATGAACTGTCAAGCAGAATATGCAGAAGTAGACAATAAATTACCTGCATCAGTGTGTTGAGGACATATTTACAAGACCTTGAAGAGGCTCCTGTAAGACAAAAGTCAAATGTCTTGGCTACCTGCAATAGATATTATAAGCTAATGAGATTTTGACTTTTCAAAATTAAGAAGCCAACTAAGGTCCATCAAGAAAGAAATGGGCATCACTCAAAAAGATTGAACGATTATTACCTTATTAGCTAAGCATGAAACAAGTCTATCAGCATCTTTCACAATGTCATCCATTGCAGTGCCTTCAGGATTGCTGGTTGCCAGAGCCAACTCATGGCAGACAACTTTCATTCCTTCAACAGACTGCAGCGTAACAGAATAGTTTAGTACTCAAGGAAAAGTGCATGGGGGCATGGGAGAGAGAGGGAGAGAACAAACCAAGGTTTCAAAAAACAGTTGCGATTGCCATAACGGCTGCGATGGTACGGTTGCGGTTGTAGGGTGTAAAGGCTGTAACGTAACGGTTGTCGTAATCAAAACCATGAATTTTTAAAATTTTCGCACAATTTGAAAAAAAATTACCGATCTGTATATTTTTTTTTCTTTCCAAAATCACATTTATTAGGGTTTAAGAGAGATTTTGATCAATTTTTGTTAATTTTTAAGTATGATCCAATATATTTAATATTTTTAAATCACTACAAAAGGAGCTTTTTATATTTTATTTCAATACTTAATGACTTCAAGAATAATTGATTTTAAATGTCTACAAAATTATTTTTAACCAATACCTGAACTAAGTAAAAAATATTTACAATTATTAAATGAAACGATTATAAAAACAAAAATTGTGATATAAATAAAAATTATTTTTGAGCTAATGATTTTTTTTAAGACATTTTTTTAGACAAGAACTAACTAAATAAAATTATTTACAATTAAGTATTAAATGAAATGATTATAAAAATAAAAAGGGTACATTACAAACACACTCCCTGAGATTTACTTAAATTACAAATTACTCCCTGTGATTCTAGAAATTACATTATGTCCCCTAAGGTTTCTAATTTCATAACAAATAGGTCCTTTTATTAATAAATTATCAAGTTAATTAACAGTTTTTAATAATGTTAAAATTTTATTTCAATTAATAATTCAGAAAATTTTATTATTATATAGGTGAACAGTTAGAAATTTCACCTTTTCAATTAATTCTGTTAAATAAAAAATTCTAACCGGGAAATATTTATAATTTTTCAAATTAGATAAGGCAATTCATATTTTAAACAAACTTCAAGAGGTGTGTTTATAATTTACCCAAATAAAAATTATGCCATAAACAAAAATTATTTTTGAGCTACTGATTTTTTTTTAAAGACATTTTTTAGACAACACATTACAGTAACAAATAAAAAATACTTACAATTAAATATTAAATGGAATGATTATAAAAATAAACACAATCATTGTTTATATATTCTTTATTTTACATGCTAATGTAATGAAATAAAAATTAAAAACTAAATTATAAAGAAAAAAATTCGTTCAAGGTTTTTTGTTTGGGCTTGAATCACTAGAGTATTCGTCTTTTTTTTGTAAGCAGTTTTTTTTTTTAAAGGAAACTATTTAGAATATTGTAAAGTGTGCAACGAGCTGTTACGGCCGTTACATAACACCAAAACGGCTGTTACACATGTGAATTTCTGTCACACCACAAAAGTGGATATAACGGATAGCGCCTACCACCGCAACTGTTACATAACACCACTTTTTAAAACCTTGGGCAACAGTAAAGCAGGAAGAAAGAAGTCCATCCATGTTTCAAACCAGTGGATATCCCCACACCCCAAAATAGTATACCTTCATTATTCCCAATAATTTCAACAAAAAATCAAAATATTTGGCAGTCACTAAGACTTAAAGCTCAAAGTGGTGTAATAAATGGGTTTGTGTTAAGTATTAGTGTGTAAGGGTAGTTATGTCATTTGTTCCTTTAGTCTTTTAATATTAGTCTTTGATGTTTTTTCCAATTTTTGTTGATTTTTGGAAAAAAAATGGCTATTTTTCGGAAGCCATTGCTGGAGCCCTTTTAGGGCTATTTCTTCCCTTCCTTCCCTTTCCTTGGGAGTTGACTGGACCATTAGAGGTGGCTAGAGTCACCGTTTTGAAGGCTTGGTGAGGTTTCTCTCAGTTTTTGTTCGTTTTTTGCTTTCCTGGCTCGATTTTGGCTCTGTTTCAGTCTATAAAGGTATCTTCCTGGTCCTTTGTTAAGTTTTTAGCACTGTTGGCTTCCTAGACTGTTATTTATTGTGGGGATTGATTTTCAATGGCTGGAATTGAGGATAAAGACCCTAGGGTTAGTGAAGAGGGTGGCGTGCATCGTGTTTTAACTCTTAATGATAGTCCCTCTCTTCAAATCAGTCTTGTGAAACTTGATGGCTCCAATTATCTGATTTGGTCTCGTTCTTGTAGCCTTGCTATTGCTGCTCGCCGTTTGACTGGCTACATTATTGGTGACCTTCCCCAGCCTGCTAATGATGCCGCTTCGCGTACTCAATGGGTTTCTAAGAACGCTTTGGTTATGACCTGGCTCATTAACTCTATGCAGCCCACCATCAGTCGGTCTTTTCTTCTCTTAGATACTGCTCATAGGATTGGACAACTGCAGCCCAGATGTAATCCCAACATGGTAATGATGCACAGGCATATGAGTTGAGGAAGAAGCTTCGGAGCTTAGATCAGAGGGATAGATCACTCACAGTATACTATGCTAAGTTGAGTAGTTCATAGCAAGAACTAGACTATTACCTAAGCTTCCAGGCTATTTGTTCTCGGGAAGCCACTTTGTTTCAACAAATCGTGGAGAAGGAGCATATGTATGACTTTCTTGCTAGCTTGAACTTGAAGTATGATCAGATTCGTGTCTAGATGTTGAGTTGTTCCCCTTTTCCCACCCTCCGCGAGGCTTATGCCCTTGTCCAGCAAGAGGAAAGTCGACATAGTGCTATGGTTCATTCCTCTATTCAGGATCGTTCTTCTTTGGTTGTTGCTCCTCGTACTCGAGCTCCTTTGCCTAGTCCGATTGATCGAGACCGATTGAAGTGTAATTATTATGGGAAAGACAGACATGATCGAGAACATTGTTGGAAACTGTATGGTCACCCTACCTGGGGTCAAGGTTATCGTAGTACAGCTCGTCTCCAAGCACATGTGTCTGAGATTGTTGCGAGTCCTTCTGAGTAGCCCTCTTTCCCAGGATGAGTTACACACTAATACTTAACAATTCAGGCGCCACCGACCACATGACAGGTGCCTCTAGTCTTTTCTATTCTTATTCTCATTGTTTCGGCCAAGACAAGGTTCGAGTGACTAATAGCACTTTATCCTTTGTCTCTGGCAAGGGTTCAGTTCATTGTTCATCTTTACTTTCTTTTTCATCTGTGCTTCATATTCCTAATTTTACACTAACCTGCTTTCTGTTAGTAGTCTTACTACTCTAAATTGCTCAATGACCTTTTTTTCTACTTCTGGGTATCGACAGTTTACTACATTTATTGATTGTTATTCTCGTGTGACTTGGATTTACTTGCTTCAAACTAAAAGCGAAATGTTTTCTTGTTTCCAAACTTTTCATAAAATGGTGACCAATCTTTTTAATGCTCAAATCAAAATTCTTCAAAGTGATAATGGGACTAAGTATGCTGATGGAGTTTTTTGAGCATACCTAGAGGAGCATGGCATCCTTTATCAGACTAGTTGTGTTGGTACTCCTCAACAGAATGGAGTTGGCAAATGCAAGAATGGCCATCTTCTTGAAGTTGCTTGTTCTCTCTTATTTACTATGAATGTCCCTAAGGCCTCGTTTGTGAACAGGCTAATGTAGTAACTTTTTGACTATTTGACTAAAAAGGTAGGTAAAAAAAATTTGTATGTTTGGGATGACTTTTTGGCTAATTACGAAAAGATGTGCAAAAAGTAGAGAAAAAAGAGTCTTTGACTTTTTTGTATGAGTTGTTGGCTTTTTGGCTAATTTAGTAACTTTTTGGCTAATTGGCTAAAAAAATAAGTCCCCAAACGGGGCCTAAGTCTTTTTAGGGTGATGTTGTTCTTACCGTTGCTTACCTTATTAATCGTATGCTTTCTAGTATCCTCCAATTCCAGATTCCTCTTCAACTACTTCTTGTAGCATATCCCACATCTCTTCCTCCTCGGGTATTTGGGTGTGTCTGTTTTGTTCATTTGCAACCTCGTACTCATGGAAAACTCGATCCTAAGGTTGTGCGTTGTCTTTATTTGTTATTTTGCTACTCAGAAGGGTTACAAATGCTATGATCCTCACACTCGCAAAGTTTATGTTAGTATGGATGTCACTTTCCGTGAATCTGAAGCCTTCTTTCCTTCTTCTCCACCATCTCCTCCAGGGGAGAGTAGTGTTATGGATGAGATTGCAGATGAGAAGATGGCCTATCAAAACGAATTATCTTTTTTCCTTCCTAGTCAACAGATTGTTATTTGTGGTGAGGGGGAGCCTAATAGTTCTCTTAATATGGAGCTTGACATTGGTGGTCGTTTGGACAAAGTTGATCTTAAGCCTTATTCTCGGCGTCTGAAAGAGCAAGCTTCCCTTATGCCACTAGACCCATCATCATTCCTCATGCCAGTTTCAGGTAATGCACCTCAGTCTATTCCTCTATCTGAAGTTGATAGTCCTGCTGTCGATGATTCGAGTCTTTCTATTGCTCTTAGAAAGAGGGCTAGGGCTTGTACTCAACACTCCATTTCTAAATTTATGTCATATGATTCATTGTCTTCTACATATCGTACTTTTGTTTCATCTTTGTCTTCTGCGTGTATTCCCCAGGGTTGGGAGGAAGCTATCAACGATCCTAAGTGGAAAGTAGCTATGGTAGAAGAGATGCAAGCTCTAAGCAAGAATAACACTTCAAGTGTTGGTTCCTTTTCCTAGTAGAAAAAAGCCTGTAGGGTGTAAGTGGGTGTTCACCATTAAGCAGAAAGTAGATGGAACAACTGAACGACACAAAGCATGACTAGTGGCCAAGGGGTTTACTCAGACATATGGAATGGATTACCAAGAAACCTTTCCTCTTGTAGCAAAGATGAATTCCATTCGAGCTATTCTCTCATGTGCAACTAATTTGGGATGACCTTTACAACAGTTAGATGTGAAGAATGCATTTCTCCATAGTGATTTGAAAAAGGAGGTATATATGGATGTACCACTAGGATTCTCATTTCAGTCTATAGTTGGGAAAGTTTGTAGGTTGAAAAAGACATTATATGGTTTGAAACAGTCTCCTTGAGCTTGATTTGACAAATTCCTGAAGGCTGTGTTGAGGTTCGAG